GTAATCCAACCAAACACAGTAAATGTCCATATTAGAAAAAATTCAATATGAATGCTCTTGATCATAAATTCAATTATAAATGCCACACAATTAATAACCCCAAATGTAAACCATATTAATGTAATAAATCTGAAGCTAAGTCTCATTGAATTTATATCATTTACACTTAATTCTTGTGACAAATCTGACATAATTTTCTTGATTTTAACACATTTAACGTAAAATAATACAAAGCTAATACAGGTGATGGTAATTTTCACCAGAGTTGAACATGGCCATAAGGCTAGATTAATTGAGTTTAACTTGGATAGATAAATAGATGTATAATACACAAAACGTATGATATTGCCAATTGCTAATAGTTTACATGTTATTTGTATGGATTTTTTGAAATACCATAGCTTTTTATTGCTATTATCGGTGAAACTAATATCGCAACCATTTATCAGGAATATTAGTGAAAACAGATATATAATGCAATTTGCATTTACCTAGACCATCTTTGATCAAAATATGAAATAAACTAAATTTAGCTGCTTTAAAAAATAATTAAATTATAAATAAAGTAAATAAATGAACTATATTTTAACCCTGGACAATGTTTGAAACAAGAAAGTTTAGGAATTAAACTAATTTAGGAATCCTTGAAAATATTTTTGTTTATCATTATGCTTGTTGATTTTATAGGTTATAAAAAACATTAAGTTAAATTATTATTTATAACAAAATAATTTATTGTAATGTGTTATAGATTTTATTTATTTAGCACTGTTTGTATAAAAGTTGATTGATCGTTTTACATTGATGTTTATAATTAAGAAAATCAAATAATGAATTTATATTTTAATAATGGACAGTATAACAGTTTACATGTTAAGTAATTGGGGTGTAATCAATAAATTTATTGCAATATACGTTTGTGCTTATGCAAATATAAATAATCAATATTTAATAATGAATTGTTTTTTATATATATATTTTAAAAATGATTTACAAAATATTTATTTTTACATTTTTACAAATAATAATTAATTATAATATTTTATTTAACATTAATGATTTAATAACTCGACTAACATTACTGTAAACGCGACAACAGATGCCATAAATGAGAATAAAAATTTCACATCAATTGTAAACACATGTAAAGCATTGTATGTCTGATTGCAATAGTTATTCACTGTATTTATAAACATTTTTGTAGTTAACACTTCAGGCGTATGGGTTTTATTGATAATATCCATTATTTCATTCACTTTCGGTCTATGGATCTGAAAATAATTGATTGTTAATACAACGATCACATTTATGGTAACAATCAACACGTATTCATGTAAACACCAATAGTTATAAATAGTACAATATATCTATCAGAATATCTATTAATTGAGACATGAGTTAATCGGAGACAAGTGTTGGCAAATAAATCACAAAACCATAAAAATGGTATAAAACCCATAAAGCTATTAATTTGCGATTTACATTGTTGAATGATTTCCAAACTATGTTCTACGTTAAAATAATTATTACGATAATTACATAACAGTAGTTTTTCCAATAGATAGACTCCAAAACACATGTGGATATATAATAAATTGGTGGCTATAATCCAGCCAAATACAGTAAATAACCATATTAAGTTTAAGAGTATACGAACCAGGTTACTGTTATCGATCGTAGAGCGAATAATTATAGCAACACCGTTAATAACCATAAATGCCGGGAGCCGGACACTTGCTCGAAAGACACTTGCTCGAAATACACTTGCTCGAAAGACACTTGCTCGAAATACACTTGCTCGAAATACACTTGCTCGAAATACACATGCTCGAAATACACATGCTCGAAATACACTTGCTCGAAGGACACTTGCTCGAAATACACTTGCTCGAAGGACACTTGCTCGAAATACACTTGCTCAAAATACACATGCTCGAAGACACTTGCTCGAAGACACTTGCTCGAAATACACTTGCTCGAAATTTTTTAATTGTTATTTTTAACATTCTAATTAATATAAAATATGATTATTTTTATATTTATTATATGAATATACTTGTATAATATATAATCGACATTTTAAAAAATCATTAATATATATAATTATTTTTCTTGATTTTATAAAATAATTTAGTTTAGTTAAAATATTTGTAATAAAAATTAATGTGATAAATTTAATATTATTGATATTTTATATTAATAATGTTAAAAGTAGCAATTAAAAAATTTCGAGCAATTGTATTTCGAGCAAGTGTCTTCGAGCAAGTGTCTTCGAGCATGTTTATTTCGAGCAAGTGTATTTCGAGCAAGTGTCCTTCGAGCAAGTGTATTTCGAGCATGTGTATTTCGAGCAAGTGTATTTCGAGCAAGTGTCTTTCGAGCAAGTGTATTGCTATTATTGGTTAAACTTATATCGCAGCCATTTATTAGGAATATCAGTGAAAACGGATGTATAATGCAATTTGCATTTATTTCAATTATAATTGATCAGAAATGTCAAGTTATAAACTGAATTCAATTATAATTAAAATGCTGTGCGAGGTAAATAAAGTTTGTTGGTCAACATTATTTTAATTGATTCAAATTATAAAAATGCGTTAAATAGTGATAAATTATTTATTTTACAACTAAAATGTACCTTTATTTTAATATGTATTAAAATTTATATTACTTATAATTATATTTATGGTTATTTAAATAACATTTGATTAATTGTTTGCATTAATGTTTTTAATCAATAAGTCTAACAATGTTACACTAATTTAGTTAATAAATTACGTTCTATGGAAATCTTATCAAGATTTCTCAACAATGTAGTACTTTGAAATCTTTTTTAGTTGCAAAAATTATTTCTTATTAAAATGTGTTACTTACAATAGTAGTTAGTAAAGGTTAAAATTTAAATATTCATTCAATTATTTTTAGTTATTAGTACAATTATTTAATAATAGAATTAATTATAGAAAAGCACAATTATTTTAACAAATAAATAAATTAAGCATTATATTTAACATTAATGATTTAATAACTGAACTAACATTACGGTAAAAGTAACGACAGATGCAATAAATGTGAATAAAAATTTCACATCAATTGTAAATACATTTAATAATAGAGATGTGCGTTAATCTGAGACATGTGTTTGCAAAGAGTTTACAAAACGATAGCAATGGTATAAAACCCAACGAGTTATTAATATTTGCTTTATAATATTAAATACTTAGCAATTTTTCTCTAGATCAATATAATTATTACTAATTAACAATCGCTTTTCCAGCAGATAACCCCCAAAACACAAATGAATATACAGTAGATTAGTTGCTATAACCCAACCAAACACAGTAAATGTCCATATTAGAAAAGAGATTACATCAACGATCTTGATTATAAACTGAATCATAAAAGCCACACAATTAATAACTTCAAATGTACACCAAATTAATGTAATAAATCTGGCGCTAAGTCTCATTGAATTTATATCATTTACATTTAATTCTTGTGACAATTCTGACAGAATATACTTGATTTTAACACATTTAACCTGAAATAGTACATAACTAATGGAGATGATGGTAATTTTCACGAGAGTTGAACATGGCCATAAGGCTATATTAATTTAGCTTAAAGTAAACTACATGACAATTCTCTCTAAATATGAAACAATCTTTAGATAGATAAATAGATGTCCAATACACAAAACGTATGATATTGCCAATTGCTAATAGTTTAGATGGTATTCGTATGAATTTTTTGAAATACCATAGCTTTCTATTGCTATTATGGGTGAAACTTATATCGCAACAATTTATCAGAAATATCAGTGAAAATAGATATATAATGCGATTGGCATTTATGACAACCATAATTCACCAGAATAGCACAACAACACCGCTACAACCCCGACCACTGAATTTAACCTAAAAAATAATTATTCGCTTTAATTTAGATTTTTCTTCTATTTTAGTACTAATTCAAGAATAAATTATATTTTTAAAAATATTATTAATAAACAACGCCAAAATAACAAAAATTGAAATTATAATTTTTTAATTTTATAAATATTTCAAAAACCATATGTTCCATGCAAATAATAATAATATATTCTGATTCTACGTTAAATTCTACATTGATTTCATATATAAATTGTTAATTTTTAATATATTTAAATCTCCCGATAAATGTGGTCACAACCGCCGAACCCGATGTCGGTCGGCCATATGGATAATATCAATGTACTCCTTATGCATTGTAGTTTATTTTATATTGTCAAATTCCGGGTACCAGCTTAGCCTGATTCCCGCATCCTCCTTTGTAATTAACTATAAAGATATTATAGATAATATATAAATTAACAACTAAATTATATTATCCATACTACTTTATAATATTATTTCATAAATCTATACTACAAATTAGCAAATATAAATGTTATAAAAATAATAAATATTGTATAATATTTACATTAAACGTGTTACTCGTTAGTATGGTTTACGTACAGTATAACAAATAAGTTACAGTAAATTAATTTAAAAATATTAATTTTGCTTACAGTATTTTATTAACTGTGTGAACAAGCAGTTGTGTGAACTTAGCATTTGTATGAACCAAACCCTAAAACCAAAACCCGCAGTCCATAGACACAATGTTAAAATAGTAAAGTAAAATTACAGAATAAAGAGATCACTTGTCCTTATAAAATCCAAGTAATGTCACCTATATTTATGAAACAACAACATATTCTTAATTTTAACATGTAATCAGTTGTATGAATATATCATTTGTGTAAACCAAATGCTAAAACCCAATCGGTTCACCCAGTTGATAAAATACTGTATTTTTTCTCATCTGGCATTTACTGGTACTGTACTGTTTACTCAATTACTAAATGTACATATGTACAATGTACATATTAATTGCAATTATAATCAATAGTTATGAAACTTTATATTTACGGCTCACATGAATATCGCCATTGAATTACATTGTATTTAATATTAGTTATGATGTATTTTACTCCATAAATAAAGTGTGTAATTGTTTTGTGTGTCGAATTGCGCGGATGTTCTAACCAGCCGATAGCAACACATAGCCAACAGGCACTGGTAGGCAGACCAGGTGTCCGATGATAACAACGTAAATAATATTATGGTATTATTACAGCAATCTGATTATATCAGTGGCGTATATTATTAACCACAATTAATATATGATTAAGGTAGTTTATAGTATCAAAACAATAACATACTATAACTTTCACATTGAAATAATACTATGAATGTAACTGGTGAATTGGTTACCATTCCGTGTCCATGGGATCGCATTAACATAATCTCAAAACTTACATTCAGGTGATTTATTTTAAAAAATTACTATATTAAAATTTATATTATGCATTTGCATACATTCATTACATTTACATTGTATAATAGGTTGTAAATTGTAATGTACATTTATATTTTATTTGTCTTAATTAGTTGGTTGTGGAGTCTATTCATTCGGGCGCATAAAAATGACCTCGAGTTCAGTGACCTTTACCGGTGCCCCAAATCAGATGAGACACATCGGGTCCGACATAAGCTGGAAATGTAATATGAAGTTATAGTTTTTATCAATTATTCAAAATATGAAAATATAATGTTTTGCATGAATTTCTATAGCAATTGGGATAAACAATTGAAAAGTAAAGGAAAATCATCGCTTTATTGGGCACTATTCGCATCGTTCGCACCCGAATTCATAGTTCTGTGTATACCCGATGCAATTAGGGTATAATATAAACTCATAATAATTAAAAATAATATGATAGTAAATAATGAATAGTAAATATTTTCAATTATTAGATTATTTTATTAATATTTTGCGTTTAATCAGGAAGTGGGACTAAACTTGTTTCAATCGTATTGTATAGTTTATTTGGTGAGATATTTCAACAATGACCCCAACACTAGCCAGTGGTGGGCACAGTGGGCAGCCGTGGGTATTGTGCTGACGTCCATTGTCAGCATGTTAATCGTACATGTGAATTTGGCCACGTGCAGCAAAGTTGGGCTCAGAATCCGTGCCGCCTGTTGTGCCCTAATCTACCGCAAGGTTTGTCTCATAAGAGTGAATACTTTTGTAATTTATATTTAATTGAGTTTATGTACCTCTATATAAAGGCAATGCGTTTAAGTCACTCATCACTCGGACAGACAACCGTTGGCCAGATATTGAACATTATGTCTAACGATGTCCACAGATTTGATGAGGTATTGGTATTGATAATTATACTTAATTAATTAAGTTAAAAAGTTTTTAATCTTGGTGTTATTATTTTAAAACAATAGCTTGCATTTAATTCGCGATCATTGTTTGTGGCGCCACTGCAGGCAACTGTTGTGACATACCTATTGTGGCCATACCTTCGGTGGGCATGTTTAGCGGGAATGGGAATACTTGCGCTGTTTATACCATTTCAAGTACTAATGAGTCGTATGTTTCGAAGAGTACGCCAAAAGACGGCCGAATTAACCGACAGTCGAATCCGTTTAATGCATGAGATTATCGCCGGAATGCGTGTCATAAAGATGTACGCCTGGGAACAGCCCTTCGCACTGTTGGTCGCAACCGCTCGCAAGTAATGTCACAATTGAAATAAAGTTTATATGTTAATAAACATATAGTTTGTAAATATTTAACAAACAATATATACTTAATATTAGGTCTGAAGTGAAACAAATACGTTATTCAAATTTTTTGAAAGGCGTTAATCTTTCAATTTATTTTGTTATATTACGGGTTATAATATACGCCTGTTTTCTAACATATGTACTGACGGATGGGCTGTTGTCGGCGGAGACAGCCTTTGCCACTATTGCTTACTATAATGCCATGCGTTGGACAGTAGGGTTGAATACACCGCTAGCTATTGCAGCTTGTAGTGAACTAATTATAGTCATCAAACGTATCCAGGTAATTATTACAATTTATGTGATTGATTAATTTGATCATTTTCAATATTATATGGTTGATGTAGATTAATGTCAATTCTACAATTATCGATTAATAATTTTATAGAATTTTCTATTACTCGAAGAGATGAGTGGTTTGGATGAGAGGGAAGGGAAAGACAACGAGGCGTTCATTTCGGGGAAAAATGAGATAATTCTCGGAGTAATGGAAAACACTTCGAGTAATGAAGAAAAAGGCGTTTTTATGGACAAAATGAGCGTTCGTTGGAATAATGTATGAATTCTT